TGCTTTGTGGCTGCCATGAGGTTCACACAGAATATCCTATGTAAGTAACAAGCTATTTCAACTTGAGAGCATTTTTACTCCCCCTATCCCACCTTAGGATTTTGATGTCATTTTTGTACCTTTTTATTCTATTTCTCATAACTGATTATTGTTATTTTGGTTAGTATTTCTTTTGTCTTTTAATTTTCAAGCTTGCTTTATAGTAATTGGCTCATAGTAACTGGCGTATATATTTACTCTCCCACTGAAATTTTTTTTTTATTTGTTTTCTTGTTCTTAGTGCCATAGCCTTTCAGTTTACAGTAGTCCCTGTACTATGTCTTTAAGACTTGTATACTAGTGATTGCTCTTCTAGTTTTTGGCTTGTCTGGCAACCTCTCTATCAATCCTTCAGCTCTGAGTAACCCTGCAGGGTAAAGTATTCTTGGTTGGCAGGTTTTTCCTTTTAGCCCTTTGCACCACTCCCTTCTATTCAAGAAACCTGCTGATATAAGAGTTCCCTTGAAAAGTAACATGTTTTCCTTTTGCTGTTTTTAAGATTCTTTGCTTTCAACTGTTGACTTTTTAATTACAGTGTGTTTTAGTATGGCTGTCTTTGGGTTCTTTTTTTTAAACTCTGTTTTTCTGGATCTAGAGATGTTTTCTCGTTAGGGAAGTTTTCTACCATTAGTTCTAAAATTTTGCCACATTTTTGGCTTTGACAAAGCATTCATATTCAATACTTTCTAATTCATAGATCCTCTGATGAGAGAGAGTTGAAAGGAAAAGCAAATCAAGTTGTATTAATTAATGTTGCAGCTCAAAACAACTATTAGGCCTCATGAGTCATCTATAAGGGAAAGCTATGATGGCAATTCCAAATTGAGACAATTATGACCATTGCAAAAAAGCACTTTTCCATCTTGGGTGCTGCATGCCACACTCTCTTCTCTGGCATCTCTATAATGTAAATAATGTTCTGCTTGATGTTTTCTGATTGCCTATTGAACCTTTTTTTTTTTTTTTTAATTTCTTCTTTGTGCTGCAATTCCAGGGGAGACCCACTGCTGTTTGGATTGGGCAAATGTGTTATGACCGTCACTGTGGCTTTTTACCAGGTAGATTGTGTATCTCCATCTCATGAAGGCCTTCCCTGAGGCTTATCCTCTTTCTTTCCTCTGGTTCTGTGGATCGGGTGAAGCAGCCGCTCTCCCAGGCTAGACAGAGCAGCCTGGGGAGGTGTTGAAACTTACTGTTCACCTTCACCCCAGATTCCAGTTGTCTTCGGAGGCTTTGTGGGTGCCTGGGCAGCCCAGTTAATTCTTGAGAGACCCCTGGTTGAGGGTGTGATGGATCCTGTCAATGTCCCCAGGCTCCAAGTGTTCCTGGTTTCAGGCTGATTGGTGGTCAGACCCTCATTCAGCTGTCTGCTTTTAAAGTCCTCCAATATTTGTGGTCCTATGGATCACACGCAATACAGAGTGTCACTTTGGGGATAGCGCCAAGAAACTAGGTTATAGACAAGTGAGTAACCTCCTTTTTGGGAGGTACTGGCAAGCTGTCGCTAGGCCAGGGGTGAGCAGACAGTGTTCCTGGTAACATTCCCCTGACAGCTTCGGCAGGGGTGCGGTGCTGGGGCGTGTGGATCTTGGAAGTTACGGAGAGTCCTGGGAGTCCCTACAGTTAGGTGAGGTGTGGTCTAGAGCTTTGATTTGACTATTAAATGAAAATAAAATTTAGGACCATGCAGACGTCAGGGGTAATAGCTACTTAACAGGGTTGGGAGATTTAAGTGAGAATGTTGACAAAAGCACTTCATGAACTAAGGAAATAGATCATAATAATATCTTCCCTTGGAAAAAAAATTTTGCTTCAACATTCATCACACATATGAAAATAAAGATCTGAAAGTTATGAACTGTATGGTCGTCTTCTTTCTGTACCATGTCAGTTCAAACTGGTAGCTAAAATGCAATTCGGCTGTCAGAGTTAATTTTGTAAAAACGACTCAATGTGTCCCAAGCATGTCATGTCAAGGCCTGGGGATTTAAGATCCCAGTTAGCAGGAACAGAAAGCGGCGCTGGTCATGCAATATTTAGCAGAGATTGTGGATGGGTGTGAGAAAAGGGAAATGACTGTACTGCCAAGGATAGGGAAATAAAATGCTCGAGTATCCATTAGACCCTGGACATTGGTACCTTTCTTATCGCTCCTGACAGCCCACAGAAGTGCTGGTACCCCCATTCGCTCCGTGGGGGTGAAGAGTCAGATGGTTGAGGAACTTGCCGAGTGGCTAAGCCCCAGCTGCCTGGTGGCCTGACGTCCATCACTCACGCTCGGCACCCAGTCCCACACGGGGCAGGTCTCCGTACCAAGTCTTGGTTGTTTCCTGTCCAGGGAGCTTTTCCAGAGCTCCTGCAAGACCCTTTGGGATGCTTTAGGTGACCACATTTGGTCACTGGCTCGAGTTCTGGAATGAAGAGTTTCATTCCTGGGTTGTCTCAAGCTCTGCTGGGACCCACCGTCTTTCGTGAGGTAATTAGAGAAATGCCGGCAAACTCTTTCCATTAGTGGTTCTTGCACAGAGTTTGCATTTCTTATGTTGCGGGGCTCTTTTTTGTTGTTGTTGTTCAGAATTCACCTTAGGGGTTTTCTCAAACTCTGCATTCTTATACTACAGTGGTTTTTAGCTTTCTTTTTTCTTTCCAGGCTGGGTGGATGATGCAGTTTCACTTCTAGGTGTTAGGATTCTCTTTCACACTGGTTTGGCGTGACCTTAAACTATTTTAAGTTTCTCCATTGGTGATTTTTTTATAATGCAGTGCTACAGTAAGCTCGACATTTGCTTTACCGGATGCGTTTAAAATACCACAGCTGGGAGGGTGGCATGCCCACAGTCCACAAGAATTATCCGAGGTGACCAAACAGCACCATCCACCTGGCCTCTCGACCTTCTTCGTTTGGGCAGGGATGGGGGTCCCGGCTGGAAGGCTACTTATGCTGATGAAAGGCTGCGGGGGTTGTTAGATGTTGCTGAATGTGGGAAAGTGTTTGTTATGATGGTGATTGTTTGAATTCACAGTTGCCCTCCCAGCTCTCCCCTGTAGATCTCTGAGGAGCCGAAGAGTCATCTTGAGCTGCAACCACCCACAAAAACCACACACATGGCACTTTACTCAAAACTTTACTTTAACCACTGCTTTGTGATGCAAAACTAGTGGAATTTTGGGTACTTTCTGTAAAATCGAAATCTTTATGGGGGTTTTCCAACATTCTAGTTGATTGTTAATGCGTTATCAGTGTAATGAAGAACAGAGCAGTTTGCTAATAAACATCGACTTGTGGGGTAGGACAGGATGCTAGCGTGTACCCGAGCATTTTCACATGGAGAACGCCCCCTTGCCTGGCCCTGATGGAAAGAAGAGCTTCCATTTCACAAATGCAATTCGAGGGGTGTTTATATGAGATTTGTAGTTGCAAAAGAGAGATTTAAGGAGCTTCTTATCTTTGCCACAACATTTTCAGTATGCAGTACTTTCTAATTTGTGAATCCTCTTTTGAAAGAGATTTGAAAAAGAAAAGCAAATCCATTTGCATCGTGACAAGTTCTGCACAAGGGGCTGTGAGACCCCCCAGCCCTGTCCAGGAGGGACGGACGAGCCACCTGTGCGGCTGGAGGAGTCAGGGACCTTCGTTTATTCCGGAGCGGAGTCCCGGAGCGACCTACTGTTTACCCCCCGGGAGACTTTCTTTTCATTAAAATTAAATGGGGGAAGATACCTCAAGTGTTAGACAAGTGGAATGGAACTTGCCATATCCCTTTAGGGACAAATGGCTTAGTCAAGGAAATAAGAAAAATCTTGAACTCTAACTTGGCACTAAAGCAAACTTTTAAAATTAAGTAATCAAAACCCCAGCAGCTTTCTTACGTGTCGGCACCTTCCCGCCACGCTGTCACTCCTGCCTAGTCACAGCGGCTCTTCATCTCAGTAAGTGGCTTTGAAGGGGGCTTGTCCCTTGATCCTTGAAATTGAGGTGTTCACAGTGTCTGGAGAAAGGTGAAATCCATTACATATCAAAGGCCACAGGAGTTTTAACTTCAGATTTTTGTTTCAGTTATGCTCGCTTTGTGTTCACACCCAACGCCAGGGGCAGGCTCTGCCGCACATTGGGTGGGGCGGCATTCCAGTCATTTATTTTCTGCTGAGGCTAGCAAAACTCAGGCGAGGATTTCTATCTTTAGTGACAGGACTCAAAGGAAACGTGACAGGCCTGTGAGAGCTGCAAACGGAACATGTCAGTGCAGAGCCTTGACCTGGAGGGGTCTTGGGGGGCGACCACACACACTGACACGAAGGGGTCCAGGAGCGACCAGGAGGAGCGCGTCCTTGTAGGCCAGCGCGAGGGTGGTGGGGTCAGCAGAGCACGCCATCTTTGCTTGGCCTTACTATGGAAAAGTTTTGTGGAGATCGGTTGCACTGAATGGAAAATCACTCACTTGTTTTGAGTTATCAAATTTATAAACTAGGAGCATCGGTGATGACTAGTCTTTTAGCTGGATTTTAATCCTGACCCAGTTCCCAACATTAGCTGGTGGTTATTCTTAGCTGCTTGAACACAGGAAAATCAGTGAGAAAGAGCAGCCAGCGCGATCACCGCTTTGAGACTAGAACAGTGAGCGTTTGCAAAACATCTGGCTTATTCTGTGAAACGATTGTCTGAACGAAGGACGCTTACCACCGAGCAGGGATGAAATGGGCTTCCTGCAAAAGGTCGCTGGCCGCACCCAGGGCAACACCCCAGGAGCGGGCACCACCACCCAGAAGAAGGGACCAACTGCAGAGTCACCTCCCCAGTGTTTGTTCCAGCGGATCTCACCGGGGGTCCACAGACGGGTGAGCATTTTCTGATGCTGGGAAGCATCCCAGTCATGCTTTCAAATTGTCCTAGAGAAATACATAATGGAGTAGCTGTTCAGACACAGACGAATGCCCCAATGAGAGCCACAGCCGTCCCTGTATATTATTCTGCATCATTTATTAAATATTTTTGTATATGCATTTACAAACTTTGCTCATTTCAGAACTCTGCTTCCGGATACATTTTTAAACTTTTTGCAGAGATTCTCCTGTAAAATGAGATCCAGGTAAAAACTAGGCAACAGATACAAAATTTTCCTTTCATACTTTCATTCATCAAGAAATCACGTGACAAAGGAATAAAATCAAAACGTGGCTCTTTCACAAGAATAACATGTCAGTGTTCAACCGCGGGTCGAGTGGGAGAGGTCGTATTGGCCTTCGTCTGGATGTATATGATAGTTTTAATGCTCCTGACCTACTGTAGCATGTCGGTTCAGATGAAGAAAAAAAATCAGCTCTACTGTTTGGACTAAGATAACCTAGAAACCGTCGATTATTCATTTCTTTATAAAGTGACACCACAATTCACCCAGGAGATGATACTGATTAGCCAGCAGTATGCATTTATCACAGACATTGCATAAAAAGTTCCCTTTAAAAAAGTCATCCACTTCTTCACAAGCTAAAGTTTGAGCCTCTAATCTAGCTCCTATTTAAAGAAATAGTTTAAATGTTCAATTCATAAGCTTTAAAGGATCTTCGAAACTAAAGTTGCTTTTCTTAAAATGAATGCTGACCGGGGGCACTGCCGCGACGAGACAGAGGCACTAACGCCACTAGCAACGAGGAGCAGGATCACCACAGGATAGTCACAGGCGCAGAATGCCCAGGGGCCTGAACTCACTAGTAATAGGATTTTGGCAGCAGCATCATTGGATATTTAACCATTTATTACATAGTCGTAACACACCAGCTTCAAAGATGTGCGCTCCCCCCAGAACAGGGAGTTACAAACTGACTGTGACTGCATCATCTGTATTGCACAGTTTCATAAAAAACATAAATACTGGCTATTCTAGTTTTAAATACAAAATACATGTCATATACTTTTGAGTCTATTCTCTGGTTCAAGTGCAAATCAGGTGCTTTCTTTCAGTCCTTCCAAAAAAGGCATTTTTACTATTTTTGGCACACATGACAAGTCTTTGTGCCAACAGTTGTAATTACAATGCATATCTCCACGCCTTGAGAGTAGCAATCATATACATACAGTATAAAACCGAGTATTTACAAATGTACTAATAAGCCTCCATGTAACCTCCGTGGGCGATGCAGAACCGAGTAGCCACACCCACACTAATAATAATTAAAAAAGGTAAATCCGGCTCTTTATTTCACTTGCTTATGCTGGTTGCTGCGGGTTGACATTCATATGAGGAGGATGTCCTAGAAGACCGATTCTCTGTTTCTGCTTCCTTTGTTCTGTCATCTGGAAAGTTAAAAAGTTTCATCATTAGACCCAGACGCTTCCTGTACGTCAGATCACATACTGAACCATAGGTTTACCTCTGTGGTTATGGTTTGTACTGAAACCCACTTTCTACCAACAGTGTCCCGTCACTGTAGCAAACTCACACAACTTCAAAAAGGACATCATCCTGGGCAGGGGGGGATTCTGTGGCCTAGTCATGCAGTGTGACATTCAGAAGGACCGTCTGCTGCTTGTTTCACAAACAAACAAACAAACAAACAAACAAAAAACAGTAAAAGCAAAGGATTCTTGATTGTTTCCCAAATCCATTTCCAAGTGATTTCGTCTCATTGGAAAATGGTGGCTGTTTACAACGGTGACAACACATCGAACTATCGAGAAAAGCGGTGTGTTTCGAATGCCAGGTTTGAGGGGTTATGCCTGGTCTCCTGGGGTCTTGACTCCTGTCCTGTGACCCCCGAGTTGTCTGTGTGGGAGAGAAAGAGGCGAGGCCTGAGATGCCCCCGAGGTCCCCGAGGGACCGCCACGGAGGAGATGGCGGCGCTCTTGCTGCCTGTCCTGCCGCCAGACACCGAGGGGAGGGGGAAACCCGAGGGAAGATGCCTTCGTGACCGGAGACGAGAGGGGCCTAGTCTCTCAACTGCTGAACCACTTCTCTCAGCAGCCAGCGCTGTTCTGGGTGTTCCGGGGCATGTTAATTCTCTGTATTAACCTCCTTCTCGCCCCAGTCGGCCCCACGCTGCATCCTGGGCACGCCGAGCAGTGAAGACGGAAAGGCCGCATGGGGGAAACACTACGTGGCTGGCGACCAGCGGCCCAGGAGCCTACTCCTAGATTTCTGGTTTGCTGATGTCAGAGAAGTGTCACAATATAGAAGTGAAAAGAATAATGGGGTTTGGAGCCAGACCTAGTTCCTTATGGTTACTCAGTTTCTCAGAGTCCGCTGGGATGATAATCCCTTTGATGCGGGGAGGCCTGCGAGGACGCCCGTCAGGCCCTCAGGGCAGCGCCCACCGCCCCGTGACGCTTACACCTGGTCTCCTCAGACTCATTTTGGGTATGGAATATCCTGAGAGAATATAAAAATGGTTATTCTTTAATTTTCATGACAGAGCAGTTATCTTTTCAAATCAAAACACTATTTTTAGCCTCCTGTGAGATGCCTTCTCTTAAAATTTAGAATATTCACAAAGAATATTTCTAGAAGGTAACTTCTGATGAAGCTTTTCATAAGGAGCTGAATTAAGACAGTCCTGCCAGCCTCTGCGTCTCCGTAGGCCAGTGACAGATCTTTAAAGGCAGACTGCACCCCGCGCGGCCCGCGTCAGACCCAGGAGGCCCTTGTGGGCGCGGGAGCAAACGTGTGGGTCGTCATGCCACGAAGCTGCTCCTCTTACGGCCTGGAACTTAGGACATGTGGCTCAGAGTTTTCCTCTCAGCTTCTGTCTTTGCAAGTAACCCTGCGTGGGGTCCGGTAAGACAGCTGCAGTAGATTTAGCAGCTAAAGGTTTTAGCCATCGTGGTAAGTTCAAGCCCACTGAAGGACATGTACAGCTGCTGAAACACTTCAGCCGTTACAGCTGGCTATTAAAACTTTTTTCTGTAATTTAGCTATAAATAAACTCGTCTATCTCCACCTTGCTTGTTAAATTAGCTTATCTTCAACCTGTCGGTTAATGAGTGTTTCTATAACGAGTAATTTATACAGGATTTCCTACCGCGTGAGTCTTGCTCATTCTGCTTTCCACCCCTGTACTCTCCCCTGAGACCTCAGTGTGGTCCTATTCCAGCGGTTAGGTCTGTCTTTCTAAGATAACCATCACCTCACCCTCCTGCAGACCGGGCAGCTCCCTAACTGATGTACACAGTAGCCAGCTTCTCCACTCTCGCAGTCATCTTCCTGGAACCGCAAAGGTCTACACAGCTGCCTAACGCTGTTCTCTGGTTCCTTATAATGCTGGTCCTTAAACTGGAGCATATCCTAGGAATCAACCTGAAGCTTTGTAAAACCAGAGATCAAAGGCCACGGTTTCCGGCTCAGTAGGCCCAGGGCCCCCGGTGGAGGGGACACTGCAGGTGTGGGGAGCCTTTCACTGCTTGTCTCTGAAATAGGCCAAGTTCACTCTGGGTTTTTCCCCCATAGACTTGAACACTTCTGTTAAAAAGGTGCTTGGTGACATGTATCATTTTTACCAAATGAGATCAAACTGGGAGAAGATTCTCGGCAGTTGAGCACACAGTAGGTACCTAAATTTGACTGAATTCTGTCTTGATCGGCCATGAACTTTAGGCAGAGTGGCTGTCAAGTCAGGGACTGATGAAGACAGCTCTTGGCCCCTCTGGCAGCAGTCGCCACCCAACTGCAGTTACAGGGAACTAAGACAAAACCCACAGGAACTGACTCTGCGCTATAAGAAGAGTGGTCAGTGTATGGCCAGCTAGGTGTCCTTGGTCCTTTAGTGCGTATCTGTCTGTCTGTCTACATAGGTGGACACACATACCCTGTATGTCTGTTACCTAAATCAAAACAAATAGGGCCAAAGTTTGCCCTTAGCATATTCTCACATAATATTCTCTATCTACTTTTGAAAAAAAAAAAAGAAATGACTCGATAAGATACCCATCAGGAAAACAACCCATCAGACTCAGATCCAGGTAACTAACCATATTCAGAATTCTAACGCTGAAAAATTATTTTGAATATTGCAAAATATCCCATTTGTAATATGTAAAAATCTTCAAAATTCCCACCTAGCTGAGGAGAAACAGAAATAAGCTTGAATGTCAACATTCCTTCTTTCAACTCATTCTAAACAAGAAGCAGAGTCCTGCAGCTTCACAACAAGTCAGATGCAGCCGAAAGATCTCAACAGACTGGAAACTGCTCTCGTGTCGCAGGGAGGCCCCCGGTTCCGAGCTCCCGGGACCCAAACCAGCACAACTAATTCTCGCCGTCCTGTGACGCTGGCCTGGCCCCGGGCGCTGAGCCCGAAACACCGAGTACAAGCAAAGCGACTCTGAGACACAGTCCCGGGTCGGGCTCGGGCCCTGTCCTCGCCAAGTCCCCGGGCTCTTACACCGAACCCCAGTTCCGGGGAGGTTTCTGTGGTCATTACTGGAACCAGCCTCGGAGCAGGCTGAGCTCATCCCCCTCTCTCCACCCGGCCGTCTGCTCCTGCCGCTGCCCCACTTACCGCGCCGACCGACCAGGCATGTGTGTGTCTCCCTCTCTAGGCTCAGGGCTACGCAGAAAGGGAAATGGTTCTGCTCCTCTGTGACCCCGTGCTGGGGCTGCACCGGGCGACAGAGGTTTTGTCAGTGGGGTTCAAAGGAGGAAGCGCGTTCACCAGGACGGAGCGCCATTCCTGAGCATGCCATGCGTCTCATGCCTCTGCTCATGCCGATTCCTGTCCTGGGCGGCCCCCAGCTGCAGCTCTGCCAGCTCAGAGGCACCCGCCTAAGACTGGAGCTCCGCTCCTCCGGCCTCCCTCCCTCTCCGGGCTCCTTGGAACTTTGCTCCTGCCTCAGTGGAGGGGCTCTGCATACCGTGGCCCTCTTAGAAATGCACTTTGTCTTTCTTGCTAGACTGTGGGGCCCTCGGGGGCACACGTCACCTCCGTCCTCTGTGGTTCCAGCACAGGGTGAGGAGCACAGAGACGCAGTAAGATTTCTTTAACATTCCACTTTCTAGCTCTGGGCAACTATGGTGTCTTTTCCTCTTCCTTCCTTACGCAGTGAATGTTAACAAGATAACCCTCTTGCGTGAGAAATGCCAAACATCAGAACATGCTGTCATCATCTGGACGTCCAAGCACTTCTTGTATTCCTGGCAGACCAGGTTCACTGTCCTGCAGAAGCAGTCACATTTCCAAGAAGTGAACCCTCTCTCGATAGTTGCCCTTTTGCATTATGAAGTAGACATGCAAAAAAAATTTAGGTTCTTACATTAGCTCTCCTCCTTGGAATAAGAATGTAAGAGAATCACATTTCGTATTCAGAATCTCGCGGAGGGAGACCCACGGGAGAGCAGTCAGGAGACCTGGGCGCGGCCCCGCTCCCGGCGCCAGGGAGGCACCGCCGCCCAGGCCTGACTGACGTCGCCACGGTGACCCCTCCGCAGATTGGGAGTTTAAGAAAACAACAAAGAAGTCAATAACCGTAAGATTAAAACTGAAGACAGCCACGCGCTGCTCCCTTGTGGGCTCCTCGGGCCAGGAGGTCTAAAGAGCGTCAGTGACGGGGCCGTCCCGTGGCCCCAGAGCTTGCCCAGGGAGGGCCCTTCACGGCTGTTTGTTAAATAACACCTACAGGAACCTCTTGCTCATTAAATCATTCGTGGGGCTTTTGGTTTTTAGCTTAGAAAACATTCCCTTCGGAAGAGGATGCCAATTAGGGACCGCGGCTGCAACGCAGCGTGGGGACTTCTAACGTGAGCGTCGTGACGGCTGCACGCGCTGAAGTTGACAGTTCAGTCTTTTCAACAAGTTGATTCTCAGGCAAAGGCATTAAAGCTGCCTTAGAAATTACATAATCAGACAAGAACACTGCCTAGTTCCAGCTGAAAGAAGCACATTCTCCCCAGGGATTCTCCCCGAGATTTTGGGCACCGTGCGGCCCTCAAGAGTGTCCCCACCCCCCAACTCTGCCTGTGGCGCTACCCAAGAGGTGGCTCCGTGTCAGGCTTGTGGGGGAAGGGCTTTTTGAAGGGGGTTCTAGGGGCCAGCTTTGAAGCAAAAAATGTGCAAAGGGCTGAAACCAAGCGGTTAAACTGGCTTTTAAAGCCACTTGATGCACCCGAGTCCACACGCAGCCCGGCCGTAGGTGTTCTGGCTTCACAGAGACAGTTCTGTCTTGGGTTTAAAAAATGCCAAGGCTCTGAGCTGGTGGTGTGGAATGTGCTCATGAGTCAGGTGAGCGCTGGCGACACTGGTCACAGTCCGGCCGGGGAGACGGCCCCAGGACACGCCAGCGGTGAGCACGTCCCTCGTTTTCCTTCCTGCGGCTGTTCCTCATTTCAGGTGGCCACCAAGTGTCACCACCTTCCCAAACAAGGCCGTCCCCCATGAGTCCTTATTTGCCTTTTAATACATGTGAGAGTGGAGAACTGGGGGCCGAGTGCTATCTGGGGGACCTGGAGTAACTCAGTGGGGAAGGGCCATTCAGAGCAGGGCTGCTGGACGCACGCGGGGAGCCCTCTCCGGGGGTGTCCACCCCAGGTGGGGCCTTCGCTCCTTATGTACGGAACAGGAGTGAGCCACCTGCGGACGCACCTTGCAGCTCACCCCGGGACAGTCTTGCCAGGTAGCTACAAGCTTGGAACTTAGCCTCTCATCTGTGAAGGTGACGGAGTGGCTTTCAGGAGCCAGGACAGACCGCCCCTCCTGCCCTGTGCAAGTCCTGACACACCCGCGCCTCACGCCAGGGGACCCTGGTGACCCTGGGGCTCAAGGGAAAGGGGTCTGGGAGGTCTGGCACAAACCTGCCTGTTCCCCGGCCCCTCCCCTGCTGGCCCCAGCACAGGAGCCACGCAGCAGGGGTCTGGCCAACAGATGAACCAAAAGGAGTCTCCACGCTGGTTTATCCCAGATACTTATTTAACCATCTTGGGTAAGAGCAGAGAGCTGAGGACTCAGAAGCAAAACCAGAAACAGCCTCTAGTCTTGTCGGTGAAGAAGGCAAGCTAGTGCCTCTTTACCCGGCCTGGTTTGCACAGCACCTCACTGACGTCATCTGCGTTTGCCCAGTTTTTGGTTCTGTTTTTCATATTAAAACCTCATCCTAAGCAGCACTGAAAGCACACTCGTGGGGTGACCCTGTAAATGGGCAGTGAAGGGAGGCGATGGACAAATGGGGGGGGGTCATGGGCGGATCCCTCTCTTCTGGGGGACAGAAACATCAGTTTGTAACATGAGATTTTCCCTCATCAAGTCTTATGTGAGGGGGGTGTGGGGGGTGTGGTCTGGCAGATGGGGTGCGTTTTCTTTACCTGATCCTTTAACTCTGACAGCTGGCCAGAGAGGTTGGTGACCAGCTTCATCGTGGACTCCAGCTTCTCCTGCAGGTGCCTCAGCTCGTTCTGCTCTCCTTCCGAGTCGCTGCTGACCAAGGACATGGCTCTCATCCGGGGGAACCAGTCAAGGTTTCTTTCCTGAAATTCACATTTGAAAAAAAGGCGGGTCACTGCTAGGAGTTGCGAGCAGGGAAGCCAGCCTAGCCACGGCCCTCGCTCTGCTGCCCCGGAGGCTGTCTCTGTCTCTCGCAAAATTAATTTGTCATTTTTTAATAAACCATTCAGTGAATGTCTTTTTAATTGAATATAACTGAACTCTTAATTCTTAGAAATCACTTACAATATGGGGAACCGGGCTTGCACACAAGATCCCCAATTTGTGTCTGTGAATATCACTGTGTTGTTGATCTCTGCAAATTACATGGCTGAAGAGTTTTGGGCTTTAAAAATGATAGGAAAAACCTCATTCCAGTTTCCATTTCTATCATTTTTGGGTGCGCAGTCCAGTGACACTGAGCGCACACACACTGCCCAACGCCCCCCACCCCATGAGCAAGGCCATGCGCCACTGAAATGCCCGCCCAGGGGTCCCCCCTCTTCTGCTGTCTCCACACACTTAGCAATTACGTCACAGTCCGCCATGTCTCTTACTTGGAAGTCATTTGCCAGCACCCTTGAAGCGTCTCCACTGCTCTGGCATCCACCAGACGTGTGTGCCTGGTGCTCAGGCAGGTGGAAGTCCCCACCAGCCCTTCCTGCGAGTCATGGAACTCAGCCGTCTGGCTGAGCTCCTTCTTCCTTCCAGCTTGAAATGATGGCTGGGTGCATTCGGGCCCCGCCACATCCCCCTCTGTCCTTTTGCCGGGGACAGCTCATGCCTGCACCAGTATCCTCCCTGCAGTGTGGGGCAGGCTCCTCCTCCCACTCCCTGCCCCCACCCGCCCTGCGTCCTCCGAGGAGCAGGCCTCGCAGACACCCCTGTCCAGAGAGGCGGGAAGGAACAGGAAGAAAAGCTTAGTGGGCAGGAGGTTTGGGGAAGAAAACGGTCTCGTTGCACAGCGCGTGTCACTTCCCACCTGGCCATGTTGCTGTCATCAGCACAAATTCTAGGAGACATTCCAACACAAATCATGCCCCCCCCCCCCCATGCACACACACAATTTGTTGCTGTTGCTTTGTGTTTACAACAGGGCTCAGAAATTTTCTGTGTAGGTACTTTCTGATGGTAACTATCTCTGGCTTTGTGGAGACGTGGCCTCTCGACCGCTCCACCACCGCAGCCGGGAGACAGCCACAGCGTCACGCAAACCAAAGGCTCTGGCTGCATCCAGTGAAACGACAATTCAGGGTGAGGCATGCCGGGCGGCCCGGAAACCTGAGTTTGCAGCCTCTAGCTACAATGGAAGACATCCACATGTTCAAGTGTAAAAAGAAAATTTCACGAGACTTGTCTAAATATTAAAAAGCAAGTGAGGCAATCGAGCAGCGTGGAGGCCAGACAAGACCCCGTGGGGAGACGTCACAGGAAGGCACCGCGGGTGCTTCTGGGCCATGTGTCGGACAGCTGGGGCCACACAGCCGCCACTTAGTATGCAGACCACAGACCTCTGATGGGGTGGAAAGGGAAAATCCTCTCACCGTCCACTCGAGTGCGCCCATGGGGACCTCAGTGGCCACGTCACCACTGGAGGGGTAGGACCATCTCCCCCTCTAATTCCAAACACTCTGCACCAACTCCCTCCACCTGCATGTCAGCCTGTATTCATTTCATTTCCCTACATGGCCATGAGCAAGAGAACACTTCAGACAGCCAGCCTGGAACCTGCCGCCAGGTCTATAAAGATTCCTGCTGTGTGTGGACAGTGGAGGAGAGACCCACCAGGTAGCCAAGGCAACCCATGGCCGATGGCCTCCACCGCCAGGTCAATCCCGGGGGACAGCCACACCCACCCAGGGCAGCGCCAAGGATGGTCCCAACTGTTGAGGGTGAATGCGGAGGACGAGGGCACGCAGGCCCCTGAAGAAGAGGTAGTGGGGCGGGGCTGCCGGAGCAGCCCAGTGCACAGGACAGCAAGGCCACACAGCATGAGCTGCCCCAGTCCCCTGGGGACTGTGGCGCACATGCAGGCTGACCCCCGAAGAGCAGAGCAGACCGGAGCACCCACTGCACCTCTCAGACCAGAGACACCGCATAGTGTCTCCAAGCACCCCCAGGCGGCGAGCGGTGCCAGGCCAGGCCTGGAGGTCAGCCGTCCTGCTCCTGTGGCTGCTACGCAGATGACCGAGCCCTGCAAGGGACACAGTTATCCTGGGGGAGAGGGCCCGAGTCCTGCATTTCAGAGGGGACGTCACCTGGTGCCCACAAATTGGAGGCGGTGGTTCTTGCTTATATTTGGGGAGAGGAGTGGGCAACTGGGTAGTTCTTTGGATTCAAATCAAAAGCAGAAGCATCCTTAGTCGTCTTGGAAGCTTTTAAAAAATATATTCAACAAGTACCTGAGGACGTCCTTTCTGTCCTTAGCACAAGGATACCTGAGCCTCCCGGGCTTCCTCAGTGAGGCAGGACCGTGATCCAGTTACGCAGCGTGGACAGAGAGGGAGGGAGGGAGCGTGAGGGGCTTGCTAGGTGTGGGCAGCTCAGGGTCATTCCTGTGGGCTGGAGGCAGCTCGGCTGGAGTTGGGGGGGTGCAGGAGGAGTGCGGGGTACGGAATGCAGGGGGTGGAGGTGGTGAGCCAGTGTCTCTTTGCGGGTCAGTCTGCCTGCCTGAGGTGGGGGTGAAAGGGCGCAGGAGCTGGCACCCACCTGCGGCTGCACATGGCATCGCGGGCACGCGAGCTAGGTTCAGCTGCGACCTGGCTCTCAAATCTTCTCTACGTTCATTTACTTAGCAGACGCGCCACACATACAGAAAACCCAGAGTTCCGAAGAGTCCACATTAACGAGGTCCCCAAAAGCCACTCAGAGGGGCGCTAGGGCGAGCTCCAGGCCGGGTCCTGCCCGTACTCTGAGGCGAGTGGGCGAAGCGCCACAGATGAAAGAGCGTTTCCAGGGTCCCACCCACTTTTTGCAACGTGAGAGTCTGGCTTTCCATGCAGTGATTTCAGAAGGTCTTTGAACAAATGCAGAAGTGCAGATGTCGTGCGCCGCGCTGTCGAGGGCTGCAGACAGAAGAGGCCCCTTGTGCTCACCCCCGGCTGTGGTTACGGCGACTCCGCACGCTGGGGCTGCTGTGGCGCGCGGGAGCCTGATGGGCCTGTGGGCAAAGGCAGCTGTGCGGCTTCTCTCCCTCCCTCACCTTCTGCCCCAGCAATCCAGGCAGGGAGCCCTGCCCGTCCCTGGAGCCATAGAAAGTCCTTCTAGAATATCTAGTTTGGCTAACGGTAAACTGAAAATATTTTTATATTAAACTCAAGAAATGTCCCTGGGCTGAACATGAAATTGAATCCAATTTTAAATGTAAAGATGAGGAAAATTCCAAGTGCCAGGGGCCGCGTGTCCCTACCCGAGGGGTGAGCCATTTTCCATCTCTTGGGGCCTTCAGTGCAGAGGCAGGAGGAGTATTTCCCAGCTGGGTGCTCGCCAGCCCCACGTCTGCTCCTCTGACCTTGTGTCCAATCATGAAGAGCCAAGTGGGGGATCCCACTAGAATCCTAAACTCTGGGAAACCAGCTCAAGCTCAGACAATTCAAGAACTCTAGACGCCATGGGGCTGCTGTCTTTCCTGCCATTAGACAGTCATCCTGGAGCATAAGGCGTATCTCCAACGGCCACGGGGCACCTGGTAGTTGAAATTCATCAGCAATTCTAGCCAAACTGTTCTCTCCATTTCCACTTGGTTTGCACCCCAAGCAGCTGTTCATGGTTCCTCACCCACAGGAGTCCTCAGAGCACGTAGGTCTGATGTTGAGACTCCCAGTCACCAGGATGGGGGCGGAGAGACCACCCAGCTCCAGGTACTTTCTGTTTCGCTCAGACTTACCCAGGCTGAGCTGGCCTGTGAGCTGGGCGACGCTGGTGCAGCCCGGGCCCCGGCCCCCCAGACCCTGAGGTCTGCCCGTGCTGACGGAGCCTGCCTGTGTGCCTGTTCAGAGCAGAAACGCTGCTCAGCCTCTGGGCTCCTGCTGTGTTTGAGAAAGTCACCCTCAGCTGAGCTGTTCTGTTGCTGCACGGGCCCTCCTGGCGTGGTGTGTGCACGGGGTGTGTGTGTGGGGGGGGCTCTGCCCGCTGCCTCGGGGGTCTGTGCTCCAGGGGCCCAGTCACTGCTGGCGCCTCACGTACCCGTGTCACTAGGCACCAGCTGCCCTGGTCCCAGCCGGCTGCTGCCAGCCCTGCGGCGCTGCCTCTGTCAGAGCTCACAGGCTGACTGAAGCCGCAGCCGGAAGCTGGCTGACCACAAGCGCTAGAGTTCTGGTTAGTTCTTTTCTAGGTAGAGTTGGAAAAGTCCCTGCAAAGGCAAACACTGAGTTTTAGAACTGGGGGCGGCACTGACCTCTTGAAATGTCCTTGACTGGAAAGAGGGAGGGTGTGACAGCACACAGAGGCTCGGAGGAGGAGAGGAAGTTGGATTGTGTGATGCAAATGCTAATCTTTCTGAGAAGTGTTTTTTTTATTCCCAGGTTCAACTGAAGCCGCTGTTCTAAGAAAGAGGACTGAGGTAATCAGCTCCCCGGAGCCGCCCAGGTAGTTTTGTTTACCACATAAACAACGGACCCTTGTTGTTGGGTCTCTTGCTCTTGCAGGGAGCAGGGACGCTTTTTTGGTGGGGCCGTGAGGACAGGAGAAGGGCCCCTGGGGCACGGCCACTGCTCCCCGGCCCCCTGGAGCGGAGCCCCCCTGAAGGCTGGAGGCGGCAGGCGCTGTCCTTTCACCTCAGACAGCGGCTGTGTTTCTACTTAGCTCACAGGGCAGGAGGGAAACTGACTTCCCCAGAATGCTGGCGATGCCTGGGTGCCGGGGTGACAGCAGGAGTGAGGGACGGGTCCACGCCCTGGCGCTGCTGGGAGGGAGGCCTGGAGGTGGTACGTGATGCTTCAGAACAGGACGCAGGACACTGGGCGGGCTGAAGCCACTCGCCCCGCTCGTGAGCCGGGGCGCTTGCTCCCATGAAGGTGAACAAAGCAGCCCCGGGCTCCTCCGG